GACATACATAAACAATAATTTTACAATGTTTCTTGAATTTTGTAACAGTTCGTTAAAGTTAACGTTGTCAGCATTTTAAAACATTGGCGATTTTCACTAAGGAAGAACATAAGTGTAAACACCTTTTGCTTCAAAAACAAGAAACGTTAATGATAATTATTTTTTCTAGAGGATAAATACACTTCTTTTTAAAAATGTATTTGCATCATCAAATGAATAAATTAGAAACAAATTACACACAGTAGTGTGTGTTAATTACTCTTTCATTAATGATAATATTATACAAAGCCTACATTTTTTTTTAAATTATAGAAGGAATCTTTTCTTCAATGGAAAAAATATCGACTATTACCCATTTTTAACGTCGATGCCTATGCGCATGCTTTTTTGTTGGAAACGTGACCAAGAAAACTGTCGAGAAATTATACAGAAAAGAAATGACTATACAACAGAAACCAATAATAATAATAATAATAATAATAGATCAAAAGGGTCTCTACTCAGAATTGATTGGAGGCATTAACTTGTACAGTTTTTCTTGGTGAATTTAGATGACTAGAGGTTGACGCATTGGTTCATGAGTGAGAGTAGTAAAGAGGTAACATAACAGGGTGTCGAGAGGATTGTGTATTAACGTTTGAAGGATGAGGCATCAAAGATGACTTGAAGCTAGGTACCTTGGAACATCCTCAGTCGGAAACTGTCTGAGCGTACTGGGTTACTCTACCCGAAGGTGTTTCTAACTGAACCACACCTGTAAGGATATGTGTTATCGTTATATCGTTCACATTTGGCTGTGATGCATTTGCCACGTATATAATTATCACATCGAATGTCATAATAGGGATATAGATTATCATATATTTGTAGCCCAGTATCACTTGTGTACTGCTTTCTTATTCAGTAATAATAGCAATAACAAGAAATATAGTTAAGGAGTAAAAATGAGGGGGTATTGATGCAATAGAAACAGGGACATGGTTGAAGGAAGGTACGGAATCTTTGATATGTGCTGCACAAAAGCAAGCCTTGATAAATAACTATATCAAATATCACATTGAAAAATCTGGGGATTCTGTAGAATATGTTAAAAAGCAGAGGAGACTGTGAGTTGCACGTCAATATGATATATTGGCACCACGTGACTATAGACGAAGACACGGCAATATATCACGAGTATTGTACACTGGATGTTACATGGTAAATTCAAACTGGAGAGAATAGAAAAGTGGTATGAACGTTAACTACTTGTAGTAATGGAAAATGTGAGTGTAAAGTTGTTATGGGACTTGACCCTGGAATGTGATAATGTAATTGAAGCAAGAAAGCCAGACATCGTTACTATCCAGAAGGAAGACGAACCTTTGTTTGATTATCGATATAACGGTACCCGGGGACATGAGGGTAGTTGAGAAAGAAAAAAGATAATGGGGAAATATATATATAAAAAATTAAAAAAATGGCGTGGTAAAGTTGGACTAAGATATTTCAGAAAATAACACTGATTTCATTATCTACTATTTTAAAAAAAGTTTTATCGATATAGATAGATGAAGAAATATCTTGGCCTGTTACTGATCGTTAAATTACGGCGTAAGATCTGTTAACTTTAAACAACAACAACAACAACAACTACAATAATAATAATAATAATAATAATAATCGGATTGGAAGCATACCTCACAAAAACCAATGGCGCTCTCCTACACATAGTAAAACACCAAATCCACTCCCTCGAAAAAGAGGCTGCACTCTTTCAAGAATCAGCTTAATATACCTGAAATCCTACCAACAAAAATCGAAGCGAATACCATCTACGCTAAACGAGTAAAACAGAAAGCAAAATAACTTGGCCAAATGAAATTACAAAAAAAAATGGGAGGACAAGGCGTTGCGTGGCAAATATCGAAAAAGGGCGAAAGAAGCAGATGTGGACCAACAGAAAACACATTCGTGGCTGAAGAGTACCTGGTTGAAAGGTGAGACAGAAGGCCTAATTACTGCAGCTCAGAACCAAAGCCTCGCAACCATAACCAATCACTGTCACATAATCAAGGATAGAACTAACATGAAATGCTGGATCTGCGGAAAATATGATTAAACTGTCGACCATATTATCTTCATATGTCCGGAACTGGTAAAAAATGAATATACCCACAGACATTACAAGGTAGCGACATATGTGCGCTGGAAGATATGCAAGAAGCACAAAATCGAAACCACTGAGAGATGGTATGAGCACCAACCAGACACAGTTACCCAAAATAACGAACTAACTATCCTCTGGGACATGCCAATTCAAACTGACGGGCAAATAAAAGCCAAAAGAACTGAAATTCTGGAAGTGTATGCTTATTGACATAGCAGTATTATCTGAGAGAAACACCTCCATGAAAATTATCGAGAAATTGTCCAAATACAAGGACTTGGAGATGGAGATTAACAGGATGTGGGAAATGAAGACTGAAACTGTACCAATAGTCACTGGAGCTCTGGGCCTCGCGAGAAAAGGAATGGACAATTTTAACAACAGTGTCCCAAGTAGCATCAACATATAAGTTGCCCAGAAGATCGCCCTACGAGGAACATCCTATATGCTAAGGTAATTGCTATGAATTAAATGACAATTCTCCTATAGGGCGTAAGGACCATTGTTTGGATTCGGCTCTACAGGATACAAAGCAGGAAATATAACATACACAAATAATAATAATAATAATAATAATAATAATAATAATAATAATAATAATTTACTTTTTTATATTGTCGGTTATGTTTACAATCTTTTGCTGTACCAGAATTATCTCCCTTGTAGTTGCGATTTATTTATATAAATGTAGATTTAATAAAAAACATATCAACAGTAAGGCCTGTCATTTTAATGATCTGGCTAAATAATAAAAACAACAATGATTGGGGTATTAGTTTGTATCATTCACATATTAATGAAAAGAGTTTTATACAGAAATAGAAAGGGTATTAGACAAGGATGTATCAATCAACAATTAAAATATCTGGGAAGGACCTAAACAGAGGACAGGAATTATGACACTGAAATCCGAATGCGCAATGGGATAGCGAAAGACGACTTCCAAAAGCAAAGTATTAATAAACAGAAAATGTTTCGTTAGAAATAAAGTAAAGAGTACTGAACTGTTATATAATATCAGCCGCCCTATATGTCAGAGAATGCTGAGAGTTGAAGCAATAGTGGTTTAATAGAAGGGCGTTGATAATACCTTGGCTGGAATATTGTAGCTTAAAAGGAAGTTTTAGAGAAAAGGAAAACAAAAAGGACACATTTATGACATCAGGAGGAGACAGTTGAAATTTTTAGGGAAGATAATAAGGAAAGAAGACTTGGAAAATTTGATACTCACAGGACAGACTGAAGTCAAGAGGAAAAGAAAATATAAACTACTTAAGCGAGCTTGAGTAAATGGATGGCGGAACAAGTTTTAGGAGAAATAACAAAAAGACAAAATTTACTAAGAGCTATAAAGGACAAGAAATTGTGGAGAGCCATGATCGTCAATGTCCTGAAACCACACAGCACATAACCTGGGTTTAAATATTATTGATATTATAAATTATTTTAAAGACTTTTTTTTATCGTTTTGTTAGTGGAAGTATAACATTTCTCATCTTGTTACACAATTTTTCCCGCCTTAATCTATCGTACACATTTATAAGTCTAACATTCTTCTATGCATTGAATATTGCTGTCAAATCTGGTCTGGCATTTCTTCTATGCATTTAGAGATTCTTGAAATATTACAAAGTAGAATATGTAATATTATCTGTCCTGACATGGTATCAGTCACTTTTCTACCGCCGGAACGTGGCCTTACTTTGCCTTTTCTGTAAATACTTTCATGGTAATTGTTCTAATGAACTTTCCCCTTTGGCACCTCAACTTTAAGAATTTATGTATAGTACTCGATTGGTGGCAAGGTGTCAGCATTCTACAGTTAAAATCACTAGATGTAACAGTAAAAATGCTAATATTGTCTTCTTGCACTTCTCGCTTGTCGAACTCTTTTACTTTCGAATCAACTTTGATCTCAAATTTAAAAATACAAATCGTTATCTTTTGTTTTCTTAATTATTGTACTCTCTCCTTAATGGTTTTTCTTTTTCTCATAGTCTTTTATACTCGGTAACTCCTTGCCTGTTAGTGCCGTTATTGCTTAGTTTGTAGGAAAATGATTAAAAACATTCTAATTGTTCTATATTTTATAAAATAAAACAATAGTATACTTCAAGAATCTGTATTAATTTTCCAAGCGTAGCTGTGGCACACGGCCGGAAGTAAGGGGCACTCAGTGAGGATCGAACTCACTACTCAGCCGTAATTGTTCTAGCGAGACAAGCTTTCTAAACATTACACCACCTCGAGGTGCCCAACTTCAAGAATCTATATAGTCAATATATTCAAGAAATTTACACAAAACGAAAATAAAATAATAATAAGCTTGTGATGAATAATACTGTTGTGGTAAGTTCATGAAACTTTATTATGTCATGCCGAATAAAATTATATTCAATTTTCTAATTTATTGCAGTATATTTATACTTTAGACAGAAACAGGCATCATAATGGAAGCATTAAAGTAAAAACGAAAAAACAAAAAAGTATATGACACCCACCCACCAAAAAAACCTCCCAAAAAACTCATGATGCGATCAAAGGACAAAGGTGTCTGATAAAGACAGAATTAAATTATCTAATGGAGAACTGCAGTGAAGCAATAAAGAATAAGGAAGAAATATCCATAGTCTATGGAACTGATATACAGTCACTGTGTTTTTCCTAAAATAGGATTTTTCACAGCAGAAGAAAATATGACTTCAGCTTTCATGGTAAGGTCTAATTATTTACTCTCCTTTACATTGACATTAGGAGTACAGGAGTAAAAGGTGAGAATGCTGACATATGGAATAAAAAGAATTACAAAAGACGGAGGAATTCTGCTTCTTAAAAAAGAGAAGCAGAAATTATGGGGAAAAAAAGGGCGAAAGAAATTAAGAATGCATACAAAAATCTTGTGGATTTCGTTCACAGATATCTATCTGTTTATCTAACTCCACTTAAATCTATCTATCTATCTATCTATCTATCTATCTATCTATCTATCTATCTCATTCTTTTCATATCTGTCTATCTATCTCATTCTTTTTATATCTATCTATCTATCTATCTATCTATCTATCTATCTATCTATCAATCTATCTATCTATCTATCTATCTATCTGATTCTTTTCATATCTATCTATCTATCTATCTATCTATCTATCTATCTATCTCATTCTTTTTATATCTATCTATCTATCTATCTATCTATCTATCTATCTATCTATCTATCTCATTCTTTTTATATCTATCTATCTATCTATCTATCTATCTCATTCTTTTCATAATAATATATCTTCTATTTTTATTATCATCTGTTTACTCATATAAGCCTAGTTAACTTTCTCCCTTGAACTTAGAGATAGAGTAGTGCATATATATGTAGTATAAATAACGATCACATACAAACACAAAGCATATAGCAAATAAATATGGACACACACCCACACACAGAAGGATATAGAGATACACGCACAGCACATACACATCACATTCAGATGACTTTTATGAGAGTACACGTCAGAAAATGTAGAGCTAAATAAAATGACGCCATGGGATTCTTTTGCCCTTTTCTTCTGACTCTTTGAGTCTCTAAGAATCGTCTTAAGAGGAAACACTTGACCTCTCATTGATAAATATTTGACCCAATGCAGCGCATAGTCTTCAACTGAACACCTCCAAGTATTGAAGCTATGTTCACAATGTTCCTGTGATTAGTTCAGTTTGCCATTTCTGGCGCATATGGCAAAGCCCCATTTGTCCTACTGCCTGCTACCTTTTCCACTCTCCATTCATCTTTCAGCTCTTCTTTTGTCATTGCGTTACTGTTAATTATTCCAGCTTGGCTCTGTCCCAGTTCCTACTGTGGAACCGTCTTATCTCCTCTCGGCCACATTCACGGCCCGGACCTTGCCCAACCATCTGCATGTCACCACCCACAATGATTTTTGTTCAATTTACGCATGTGGTGTTTGGTGGCCAAAAGCTTTGACATTTTAGGTGCAGGTGTTTCATTACTTAGAATGAAAGAAAGGTAAAGAGAGGCAAATAAATAAAGGGAGATACATACATAGAGAGAGAGAGAGAAAGAGGACAAATAAACTGAGAAAGACATAAGTGAAAGGAGACGCAAGAAAGAATCATATATATATATATATATATATATATATATATATATATATATATATATATATATATGTATTTATATACCAATTATAGGATTGATGTATACGGAATAAATTCCAATAACATAAAATACTATTCTTATAAAAGTGCTCAATACAGAGTAGAGCAAATATAATTTATTCGGAAATTATAACATAAACATGTCATAAAATCACTACAAAAATAGCCATTTTGTTTCAACACTTCTGGTATCTTATCAAGTGATGGCGTCCCATATATATATATATATATATATATATATATATGAAGAAATATAGTTTTATGGTGTGCTATATTTATGGGATAAAGTGCTCAATATCAGAGATAGAGCGTATGTAAATATAAAAGTGAACATTGAAGTCAACAATGTCGCCTCTGAGTGTTGACTTCAATGTTCACTTTTATATATATATATACATATATATATATATATATATATATACAGAAAAGAGAGAGAGAGAGAAATAGAGATAGAGAGAGAGAAAGAGAGAGTGAGGGAGAGAAAGAGAGGGAGTACAAATTAGGAATCCAATATATATTGATATAACAGAGAAAATGTTAATAGGGAGATATAGAGACACGAAAGAGAAAAAAATATAAGCAAAGAGGGACAGAGAGTGGAAGAATGAAAGAGAGAAGAAAATAATAGGGAGTTAGTGTGTGAAGAGGAAGTCGGAAACATAGAGAAAGATGGAAGTGTGTGAGGAAGGAGGAGAGAGATAGACACACACAAGTACAGACGAGCAGTTAACTAGACAAATCTGTAAAAAGATGGATGAAGACAAAAAAGTGACATAGAAAGAGAGGGGGGGGTGGAGAACGAGAGAACAATGTAAACGACTAAAATTTCCAAGATATGTTTTTAAAACTGAGAAAGACAGAGAGCAAAGCACACATACAAACGCAGAGGGGGGGGGAAGAGAACGAAATGAAAGAGGGGAGGAGAGGGAGAAGAAGAAAAATGTAGAGAAAGATGAAAACGAAGGAAGAGACAGAGTTATGCACACACACTGGCACAAATTGCGAAATATATGCACGAGAAGATATATATATATATATATATATATATATATATATATATATATATATGAAGAGACAGAAAGTGAGTGAGTGGTGAGTGTAAGCGATCGACGGGTAAAGAATTCTGAATCAACTAATGCTTCCACAATATATATTAATACAAGTAAGAGAGTTAAATAAACAGATGGATAGATAGATAGATATGAACAGATTCAGAGAGAGAAAGAGGGTGACAGAGTGAGAGAGACAGACTCAGTGAGTGTAAGCGATCGACTGATAAAGAATTCAGAATCAACTAATATTTACCAGATATAAATAAGTTATTTAAATAAGAACAGATAGATAGATCGATAGATAGACACGAGCATAGATAGATAGATAGATAGATAGATAGATAGATAGATAGATAGATAGATAGATAGATAGATATGAACAAACACAGCGAGAGAAAGAGAAAGAGAAAGAGAGAGACAGCGAGTGTGTAAGTAATCGGCCGATAAATAATACAAAATCAACTAATGTTTCCAATATATATATTTTACAAGTAAGAAAATTAAATATAAACAGATAGATAGATAGATATCAGCATAGTGAGATAGATAGATAGATGTATAGATAGATAGATAGATAGGAGCAGACTGAGATAGATAGATATATAGATGTATAGTTAGATAGATAGATAGATGAAAAAATTGACAGAGAGAGAGAGAGAGAGAGAGAGAGAGAGAGAGAGAGAGAGAGACTGAGCGAGGAACCAGGGAGAAACGGGAAACAGAAGAAAAGAAACAAACAGAGAGAAAATGAGAGTGAAGAGTGTTAGAAAGTCGAGAGAGACTTATAAAAACAGAAAGTCATTTGGAGACAGACGTAAATGTAAACATATAGAGAAAAGAGAAAATGAATAGAGTGAAAAAGAAAGAGAACGGGTGAGTGAAAGAGAATGAATTAATAATCATTTAAAAGAAAGAAGAAAACAGAAAGGAAGAGGTTCGCGAAGAGAGAGAAAGAGAGAGAGAGTGTCAAAGCGAGAGCAAGAGAGCGACAGATATACAAATTGATAAATATATAAATGAAAAGAGACAATGTAAGAAGAGTACTAATAAAGAAAAGTGTGAATGAGCGATAGAGAATGAATTAAGAATCAACTGAGGCTATTAAATAGCAATAATTAGAGATGAAGAAAAATGAGAGAAAGAGAGGAAAATGAGAGAGTAATAGGGGGCGTGAAAAGCGCGAAAAATGTATATTTCTAATACTAGGACATTGCATATTTAAGATCATTTTACTGATTTTCAGATTTTAAGATTTTACAGCATAAATCAGTTTCTTGGAAAGTTAACTTATCACCCTGAAAATCAATAATCAAAACTGAACGTTTAAACTGATTGATAGACACAGATAACAAAAGTTATGCGAGAAACAAAGTGACAGGTAAAAGATAGCCAGGGAGGGAGGGAGAGAGAGAGAGAGAGAGAGAGAGGGGGAGAGTGAGAAAGAAAAGGGAAAAACCATAAAAGTAGTCGTGAGAGAAAAGACAATGAAAGAATAAAGTAAGAATGAGAGAGAAGATGAAGTACAAGAAAAAATGGTGAGAAAAAATGGAAGAGGAGAAGGCAGGAAGAAAGAGAGAAAGTGGTATCTTTTATAAATACTAAATGCAGAGGATGAATATAGATAGAAATAGACAGTTGATGTACAAATAGAAAATGAATACATAGAGAACAAAAGAGCCGTAGAAAGAAAACAAAGCGTGTAATAGGAGTGATGGGGGGAATGCGGAAGTAAGCAAGGTGAAGAGAGCATGAGAAAAAAAGGAAGGGAAAAAAGAGAGAGTAAGAGAAAGAAAGAAATAAAGAAGGTAGAAGAATTAAGGCACAAGTAGAAGAAAGCAAACTTGAAGCGTTCATCCCCCTGAACCATTAGAAATTTTGAGGCACTTAATAGCCTAATTCGCAGAATATTCTTAAAATATATTTCAGTCCTTTGCAAGATTACGCAATCGAGAATAGCTTAGAAAAAATAACATTATGGATAGAATTGAGAATTTGACTACAAAATGACAACAAATTACTAACAGAAAGTAAAATTACAATATCCTGAGAGACTATGTCAATGTTGATTTGAATACAGTATATTGATTTTCTAAGCGTAACTTAGACGTGGCACAAAGCCGAAAGTATGGGGCAACTAGTGAGGATCGAACTCACATTTCAGTCGTAACTGATCTAGCAAGACAAGCTTGCTAACCGTTATACCACGTCGAGGTGCCCTAATGATTTCCTAAGCCTAGCTTAGATGTGGCACAAAGCCGAAAGTATGGGGCACCCAGTGAGGATCGAACTCACTACTCAGTCGTAATTGTTCTAGCGAGACAAACTTGCTAACCATTACACCGCCTCGAGGTGCCCAACTTGAATACAGTATATGTATGTTCGTTGGGACAGTAAATATTCTGGCAACCTTTTTAGGTAAAGTTTAACATACGTATCGGCAAGAAAACGTTGTTTCGAAATAACTGTTTTTCTTTTAGTATTTCTATTTCTGTATAATGCCTCAGTAATTTTATTGTTTTAAAATCTATTTAGAATTTTAATAAAACAAACTTATGAATCTGGATTTATACAATTTCTTTGTTCTTTGTTCCGAACATTCTTCTAAATAAACAATCTAATAAAAAAGTTTTTAAAATTTTTGTTGTCATTTCCCGAGAAAAAATGTATAAATCCAGATGCTCGCAACCTTTTAGTCAATTTATGTGGCATATGCAAATGAAAAAAAGAAAATGATGCTCGGAAAATGCATCTTTCCAAAATTTGTAATTATTTATTCGTACTTATGTGTTTATTTAAATTTTCTTGTTTGCTTCTTAACAGATTTTTTTTTTATATTTTTATGAATAAAAAATGGTTTTCGTAGTTATTTTTAAATAGTACACCTAGAACCACCTAAAACTGTTCTCGTCATGCGGGCATCGACCTTGAAAGAATTGAAGGTGGCCATACTGGCAGCTAGATCAGCTTCGGTCTCAGGACCCAGAGGTGTGCTCTCTGAGATGTTCGAATATTCAGGCACATCTCTGGAAGATATTAAAAGCAATTTGAATGAGAGGTTGAGTTGCAAAGCAGTAGAAGTATGCTAATGCAGTGTGGATTGCTAAAGAAGAAAACTCAAAAGGAATTGAATAGTTCAGAACGATTTCTTTGCTGTTCAGTGAAAACAAAATCTTCTTCGACATCCTGACTTCGGAATTATCTTTTTTGCCAACAATTACATAGTTTCTTCAGTATAGAAGGGTGGGATTGCAGGCATCCCAGATTGCTTGATGCATACAGGCATGACGACTCAGCTTCTAACAGAAAGTAAAGAAGGAAAGGGCGATCTAGTCGTACTGTGGCTGGATTTCGCTAATGCATATGGATCCGTTCCACACAAATTAATCGAGGAAGATCTGTCGGAGTTACCTCCTCCTTCAGTTTGTAACCCTTTCACCAGAGGTCTCTCTTTCCTGGATATAAATAGCCAATGACCCTTCGCTTCGATCTCTCTTTTTACTTTTCAGGCTTGTGCACTAACGCACCGAGGTAAATTTCTCTTCTTCCTAGAGGATTTCAACTATCAACCTCAAAATGTAGTCCCTAACAAGAAATAGCGTGAAATCACGCTAAGCTGTCTACACACGCTCACACACGGAATATTCCCACACTTTGTCCTTTGTACTGTTTTCTTGTATTGTAACTTGTTATGAAATATATATTTGTTGTGTATACATATATTATCGGTCTTGTTTTGTTTGCTTTTTCTTTTCCTTCTTCTTTGGACTTAACCAAGTCAAACTTTTTTATGTAGTTGGGCCGGCTAGCAGGAGAATCTGAACCTTACAGGCGTTTCGTCCACGTCTGTCTTCTCTCAACAAACCGTAACCGCCAACATAACAGCCACGGCCCTCTACAGATCTAAGATACGATAGGGTTATTTATGTAAGGAATCTCATACAAGATTATTACAATGTTTTCAACCTCTGATTTGATATCTTCAGAATGATATCGATAGTAAGGGGAATTATCACTACATCTAAATGATATTCACTTTAAACATGAACATGTTAGTAAAATCAGAAGTTGAGTGTCGAGGTCCATTGACGAGAAACTGAGTACGTCAACCACCGATCTGTGTATATATGAATGACCTAACAATTACTACATCTTCTGTTCCTGGATGTAGGTGGATATTACAGGGTTTAGAAAAGATAATGACTTGGTCATCCTCTTTAAAAGTGACGATGATCAGGACGAAAAGGAGAAAAATGTAAAAACAAATGCCGGACGTAACAGGCTGGAACGATCCATGGGTCAAACCAAGTCTCAATCTGTCCCTGCTTCGGGTATACAAATCCGTTCAAATAGACCTCGATTGAGGGTATTACAAATGTGACCTTAGCTGCCTCAGCCTTCGTACTTAAAAAAAATCCTTCTCGATACCCGGCTTTTTAGATACTCTCTCTTGTTGCAGTTGCAGAATATGTCAGTTCCTATGGAGCCTGTCCAACTAGTGAAGGTTGAGCAGCTGACAAACAAATCTGGGGGCTCCTACTACAACTTGAATTTTTTTTATGTCCTCTCGAATTAATATTATTATTATTTTTATAATTATATTATTTCTGCATGTTGTATTTGCTGCTTTGTATCTTGTAATGCCCTAGGCCCTTATAGGAGAATTGTCATTTAATTGATAGCACTTTTCTTACTATATGGGATGTTTCTAGTAGGGCGATCTTCTAGGCAACTTCTGTGTTGACGTTATCTGGGACATTGTTAGTAAAATTGTCCATTCCTATTCTCACAAGGCCCAGAATTCCGATTACTATTACTTCATTCCCCGCATCCTGTTAATTTCAGGTCCTTGTATTTGGACAATTTCTCGTTATTTTTTATGGAAGTGTTACTCTCAGATGGTACTGCTATGTCAATAAGCATACACTTCCTGAATTTCTTGTCTTTTTTTTTTAATAATATCAGGTCTGTTGACTTTCATTTCCCTGTCAGTTTGAATTGGCATGTCCCATCTTACATTGTTATTTTGGGTATCTGTGTCTGGTTGGTGCTCATAACATCTCTCAGTGGTTTCGATTTTGTGCTTCTTACATATCTTCCATTGCACATATTTCGCTACTTTGTTATGGCTCTGTGTATATTCATTTTTTGCCAGTTCCGGACATATGAAGATAATATGGTCGATAGTTTCATCATATTTTTCGCAGATCCTGCATTTCGGGTTAGTTCCATCCTTGATTATGTGACAGTGATAGGATCTGGTTGCGAGGGTTTGGTCATTATTATTATTATTATTATTATTATTATTATCATTATTATTATTATTATTATTATTATTTTCTATGATTTCTGGTATGTACTCATTTCTTATACTATTTAGTCTTCTTCTTATTATATGTATATATTATTTATAATACATAATATTTAAATTATTTAAACAGGTACATATCCATAGAAATTAAAAGAAAACTTTATGTAGATAGGTATATACGCAGACCTATCGTGTAGGTGAGAGAATTGCGTATTCCAACTTTATCCCTCAGACCGATGTTCAAACTCACATTAAAAGCCAGGATTTCGAATGATGATATTCAAACTTGTTATTGTCAAAATATATTGGTTCAAAAGAGTCTTCTAATTATCAATTACTCTGGGAGTGGCCTGAACTAAGCTGAATATATATATATATATATATATATATATATATATATATATATATATATATATATTTCAACTCTGTTCCATTGACAGATATCTTTAAAATTTTTCTCGTCACTCGCATGCCACGATAGTTGATAGAGTAGGTGAGCCCTTGGGGACACCATTCTTATATAACTGCCCCGACAAAAAAGCTGAAAAAGTTATTAAACTCACTATCAAGTTTAATAGTGAGTTTAATAACTTTTTCAGCAGAAGCCAGCAGACACACAAACATACATAGATACAGGCTCTTATATAAACAACATCATACATATAAACGTATACATAAACAAATTCCATCATATATAGTACAGTGAGTACTCAGTGCTCCCGGATTTAGGATCTGCAGATTCAACCAGCCGAGGATCGAAAATATTCGGAAAAAATATCAGGAAATGATTAAAATAGAGAATTTGACCGATTCGATAAGGTCAAATGGCCGCTGATCTCAAAAGTGACCTAAAATCTGCTGTTAATTGGGGCAATTATTACTTTTTAATCATAACAAATCCCCCCCCCACCCGCAGGAGAACTGCTCGTTACACTTTCTCGTGTTAACATTCTCTGCTAACATGAATTAGAAAGATTATATTGAATCAATTACTAGGTCTGCTGCCAGGAAAGTTAGTTCACTGTGTCATGTGCGACAATTTTTTCTTACCAGAATCTATTTTACATATTTATAAGCCTACCATTCAACCTTACTTTGAATATTGCTGTTACATATAGTCTGGTGTTCCTGCTATATATTCAGAGACTCTTGTTAAAATCCAAAGAAGAATATGCAATGTTATTCGTCCTGATCTGACATCCCGACTTCAGTCATTTTCCCTCCGCCGTGATGTAGTTTTCCTGTACCTTTTCTATAAATACATTCATGGTAATTGTTCTCATGAGCTTTGCTCTATGATAGCTAGACTTTATTAATTTACGCTCAGTACCTCCTACAGACAGTTATGTATCATGCGGGATATACGCGTAGGCGATCATGTATCTTTCGATACATAACAGACGAGACAGACTTCCCCGCTGAAGGTTGCCATTTCTTTCTGCGGTAGACCAGTTGCCATCCAAGGCTATAGAATCCGGCCTGTCCTGCTATATATCCATAGCTTGGGTGGGGGAGAAGAAGTGTATTAGCATGTAAGTGAATGTAATGGATTCGTCTGG